AATATTACTATGATATTTCTACTATATTAGAGTGTAATATTGCAATCAAAAAACAATATTACTGTGATTTTGCAGTAATATTACGTGCTATGTGGGTCTGCATTGAAAGTAACTTCAATAATTTATATCAAATATTTATTTATTCAATCATTAGCTTTTACGTGATGTAAGAAACTTACTTACGGTACGTGTAAAAAAGTAAAATATATTTAAGTAAAAGAGTAAAAAATCAGGACAATAGATAAATGTCATAGTAAACCAATTATTAAAATATTAAGAATAAAAAATAAAACACTATAATAGATTTGTATAATTAGCGTTAAATTTTCTTTACAACATCAAAAACATAAAAACTTGTAAAGCAATTTATTATAATAGTTATGTTTATATATAAATATATACATATATGTATATATTTATATAGTTGCATATGTATTTAAAAATTTAACATAATGATAATAACATAATGACAATATTTAAAATAATGATAATAACAAATAATGTGTGTGTGTATGAAAAGATAACAAAGGATGACACAAACAGTTATTTTGTATAATTTTGAACCAGTTACGCGAGATTTTATTTTATAGTTGCGCTCAAAAATGTTCTTCTGTCAAATATATATTTATGGTTCTGACAAGAACCATTTAATGTGACTCTGTAAAATATTTTTTTGTGGCTCTGATTTTTATTTCTAATCTCTTGATTTTTATTTCTAATCTCTTGATTGTTAATTCTTCTCTCTTGATTCTCTATTTTAGATTTAGATTCTTCTATTTCAGTTCTTAACTTATTAATTAGTTGTTTATTTGTTAGTTCGACATCCTTACTTTTTTGTAAGATGTTCCTCTCAACTACATTTAAATACCACATACATCGGGGTTTCTGTACACTGGCTTTTGAGGCCCTGTGAGACAAAACAAAATGTGAACTAAGATTAGTACAATTTTAAAGCGGTAGAGAGACACATGTCTATCCTTGTTTTAATTTGACTGTCTTAAGGGGATCCTAAACTGAATCTGTTTTATCGACTGAATTTACGGCGTATGGCGTCGATCGTAGTACTAATTCTTTAATATAAAAAGTTGTGCAGTTTGTACGTAGAAAACCAACTACGTCCCGTTTTCGGAACAACATAAAAAACAATATATAGCTTTCAGAAATGTTTTTAGAAGGTTAGTGTAAATAAATAGTGTGCGTGAAATGATGAATAAATAGTGTGTGTATTCCAATATTGCTCTGAAAATATTCACGCACACTATTTATTTATACTAGGCTTTTAAACGCATTTCTGAAAGCTCTATATTGTTTTTTCTGTTGTTCCGAAAACGGGACGCAGTTGGTTTTCTACGTACAAACTGCATAACTTTTTATATTAAGCGAATATTACTACTGTAAGGATCTCAGTCAGGATGGTTGATTCTTTTTTTCACACACACGTTTATTACACAAATATATAGATTTACTTTGCGGCGCAAACCGCAGCTACAACAAATTTTACACAGAAATATCGAAGCACGCTTGCCTCACTTTAATCACTCTTACGTGATTTTTCACTTTCTTTTCCGCTTTTCTCTGTCTTCTCTGTAACACTGCTGTATCACGTCTGTCTGTCCTCAGTCTTATTCTCTTTGTCCTCTCTTATCCTTTTCGTCATGCACGCCCTCATCTTATTATCCTACTTACAGGTACTTAAAATCTACCCAGCAAACATCACGTGTCAGCACGCCGTGAAAAGCATGCCATGTGAACAATATGTTGGTACAGTGCTGGTCAGTGATGACACGCGTTGTATGCTAACAAATTGATATCATGGCGTGCTGAGGTAAGCATTGCAGAAGGACCGACAGATGTCGCTACTTTTAATTTGGTAATTCTCCGGCAACACAACCTATTCTTTCCCTCTGCTTGTCTTTCCCCCTTGTCTAGAAGTGTAGATCAGCTCCAGCATTGAGACCTTGTTTATGCGGGCAATAACCGTTAACTTATTATTATACACATTCGGCAATTTTGTAAACAAAAACATTAAAATCGTATAGTTTTACCGGTTTCGATATAAGATAACGGTTATNATGAAACTTTTTTTGTTCATAAGTTTTTTATAAACAATGAGCGACGGATAAAACCTTCATATTATTATTCAGGGAGGTGACCTTGATAACATATGTCAAAATTGTTGAGATCGGAAAATAGTCCGTATAACTGCATAATTACCCAGAATAATAAGAATATTAATGTAAGCAAGAGACATTTTTATAAATTAATATTATTTGCAGAACAATAAATTATGTTTATAAGTTATTTTTTTCATTTACTTATTTAGTTACTTATATTTATTAAATGTTATACATATCTATAATATAATATCTATAATTAATATTTATTAAATGTTGTTTTTTTTGTTAGTTTTTTAAGTAAATATGTTTATTAGATTTCTTAAAATATCATTCTGGGCATTATTCCATCAAAATATTGTGAAGTTCTAACAGATGGCAGTACTAGTAGCCCATATAAACATGGCTGACTAGGCTTCATCTTTTTTCGACAACGCTCTCTCCTTTATCTCCATGCTCAGTATAACCAGTATAACCTCTGTAATCAGTAGTTTCGTCTATTTTTATCAATTGAAGTGACTGAAGTGATTGAGTGACATACAATTATTTGACACTAACGAATAAAACAATAAAAATCAATGTTAAACATATACATACACAATCTAATTAAAATTATGACACGCTGCATTGTGATAAGATGTATTTCTGGTTATGACTCTAATAATGAAAAAGTGCATTTTTTTCGTGTTCCAAAAAATGAAAAAATGAGAAATATACATATAATAATATATATATTTTTGACTATTCTTTATTTTAGAGATTTTTTGGTTCGATTCGACAAACAGCTGGTTCAAATGATCATCCTGNTACTCCTACTTTCCTTCAATTATATAAAATTTTGAGCACTTTTGCTATCCTAAAATCTCCTTCTTATGGAAACTGTTCTGTTGAAAAATACGAACCACTAATTTCTATATCCAATATCAAACATTTATATACACAATCAAACAACACGTCATTAAAGAAAAATTGGATCATGTTGTAAATCAAGACCAATGGTCTTTCAATGATTTACAAGATCATAATTATTGTCAACCGGAAACTGCATTATCAAGAGGCACGGTAGTCCCTCGCGCCAAGTATATGCGCAAACGAAGTGCGCGCGCGCTGCGCGAGGTACCCCGTGCCTCTTATACGCGAAAATGGCCAAATGGCAATATCGAGATTTTCCGATCTCAACAACGGCTAAACCGATCGAGTTCGGCCTAGACTCAATCGAAAATTGAGATCGAGGCACAAAAAAAAGTATTTTGCGGTTTTTTTCCTCCGTGCCTTCCGAACGGAAATATCTCGATGCAAAGTCTGAAATCGCGAAAAACTAAGTTTAATTTTTCGTCCACGTCATCTTAGGACTCGCTTGAGCGTACTTCGCCTCTTGTCGCCACCAGGTAGCGATACTTTCGTGTATATATGCGCAAACAACGTGTGCACGCGCTGGGCGAGATATCTCGTGCTTCATTCATCATTACGCTTGATTGAGAATTTACACAAGACGTAGTTACGCTGCTGTGCGGTGACAGGCAGTGAAGTGCAGTGT